TGACTCTCTAATCTGTTTACCAACTGCTTTAGTCTGAGGAAGACAGGAAGAATGTGCTGAGGCTGCAGGATCTGGTGGACAAGCTGCAAATGAAAGTGAAATCCTACAAGAGACAAGCTGAGGAGGCTGTAAGTATTGCTTGGAGAAAGGGCAAAGCCCACATTCGATTGGGGCAGGATACACATTGTATAAGTCTGAATACCAGGAGAGGTATTCAGAAAGAAACTCCTGAGACACAACTTGTTGGCCATGCTGTTTTCTTATTGTTTGTCAAGGCCTTGGTGAGCTCTGGGGCACCCTGTAGTCAGGGCATTCATTAAGGGAAGATCTGCAGCCTGTTTCACACAGGAGTCTTGAGTAAACAAGCCAGGGGCCACACCCAGTGACTGACAAATTCCTGAATCTCTGCTAATAATAAGCAGCAGAATGTTTCCAATAACTCATACAGAGAAATAGTGTGAGAATAAGTACAGAATTGATAAATTGAAGGGTGAAATTGCTCCTCACATGTGACACAGTCCTGGTGGAGCTTGTCCCAGTAGGGTCGTGACAAGGGATGAGGAGCTCTGTGTGAGGCTGATGTGTGAGCAGTGGCAGGAGGGTGATGGAGATTTGCAGCCCCACAAGACTGACCTGCAGCAGGAATGCAGCCCCTGCCCTGTTCTCCTCATCCCTGACTCCCTCTCCCCACACAGGAGGAGCTGTCCAATGTGAACCTGTCCAAGTTCCGCAAGATCCAGCACGAGCTGGAGGAGGCCGAGGAGCGGGCTGACATTGCAGAGTCACAGGTCAACAAGCTCCGAGCCAAGAGCCGTGACATTCACGGCAAGAAGATAGAAGAGGAAGAGTGAGGATGTCATGAGGCATTAGAGTGACCTGAGGGCTGCACAAAATGTGTACTCTCTGTCACTTTCTTCTTTCTGCAATTTTTGTTTTAACCATTTTAATGTCTAGAGAATAAATCCTGTAGATTTGTTTGTGTGCATACCATGAGCAGTGCTTTCATTTCTTTCTGGTTTTATTGGTTAGACCTTTTTTACCATTTTTGGTACAGTTTTTCACAGTTTTTTCTTACAGTCCACATATACCTATGTCTCAGTGCAGCTTTTTTGTCATCTTGTTCCTGACTATTTATCCCTTCTTTTTTTCTTAGTGACTCAGGTGTGACTAGAAAAATAACATCATATGAAGAGAAAGCAAGGATAATAATTCCTGATTGTGAGTTCCGCAAGTTCTTCCTACTGGTATACCCCAGACAATATCTTATATTATATTTATCCTTAGGGGACCTCAGCACTTTCCAGCTTGTGATTGTCAGGTGTGAGATACTCCTTTTGCTGGCCTCTGAGAGTGATTTATAGAGTGGTAATAACCCGAAAAAGTTCATGGTTTTTTTTCTGAAGCTGACAGAATGTAGCCTTTAGTCTCCACTATTTTTTTTTCCTTTAATGTAATTAGAAGACCATGAAGAGTATCACATCCCCTTGATTTAAAACTGGAGAAGGTTGTTGACAGTTCTATGAGATTTCCTTTAGTTTCTGTAAATTAGATCAGTGTCTAAAAAAGCTGAATTCCTGCCACACTACTTTCTGAAACACTGCCCTGTCTTGGGGAATTTTTCTTTCATGATAAGAAAGATCAGCTGTTTAATGTGGTGTTTTCCTTACTGTTGTTGTAGAAACTCAATACCCACATCAGGACCTTCTCTCACTAGCCTATGGCAGGAGAGGTCAGAGAAGACAGCAGGGAAGACTCATTTTGCAGTAGTCCAGCAGTGAAAGATAAACACATTAGTAGCTTTCATTTCATTAGTAGCTGTTTAGATGAATGGTTTTCCATTCAGTGTGCAAAAGAAGCAATAAAGAAGTTGGGCAATTAAATGGCAGATTCTGAGCCTGAGCAGAGAACCACATAAACTGACCATGAAGACTTGATTTCAGGGGGAGAAAGTTACAATGTTCAGTCCCAGGCCCTGCCTCCTAGGGCAGAGTACACTGAATTCCCAGGGAGCACTGGACCAAGCACATGTAACACCTCTAGGGACAGAACTGGTATGGGGAACTGAGGACAGGTGGTTTATGTCCTTCCAAAAGGAGCAGTCTGTTAAATTCCAGTCAGCGTTACATATGAAAAAACACACAAAACTTTGAGGGGATAGATGAGCATGTAGACAGAGAGATACAGATAATATCATCGACTGGGATTTCCAAAACCTTTCAGCAAGGTTATGAAAGCCAACAGAGGCTTTTATAGAAGTGATGAAGTCATGAGATAAGAAGCAAACCTCTTAGATGCAGACAGAATGAAAGAGAGGAGTTATGTGTGCTGGGGCCTGTGTTGCTCAATCTACTGATAAGACAGACAACATCAAGCTGGATGTTTCAGTTGATACACCAGTGGGAAAGAATGTCATCCAGTTAAAGAGCTGTCATCTGTAGTGCTGCATTCAGCTCTGGGACCCCCAGTAAAAAACGGACAATGGACCAGGTGGAGCAGTTGCAGAGCCAAAATAAAAGATCCAAGTCCTGAAATGGCTCTGCTATGAAGAAAGGCTTATTTAGTTGTGCCTGCTCAGAATGGAGATGAGAAGGCTCTGAGAATACCATATTGCAATTTTCAATATATAAAGGCAGCTCTTTAGAGGGGGAAAGACTTTTTAGCTAGGCCTGTGGCCATAGGACAAGGGGAAAAGTTTTAAATTAAAAAGGGTAGATTCTGGTTGGATATAAATTGGCAGTTTTTAAGAAGAGCCCAATGAGACACAGGAACAGACAGACCCTAAAATGTCCCATCAATGGAAATGTGCAAGCTCAGATTGAATGGGGCTTTCAGCAACCTGATCCAGTCAAAATTCTTACCCACAGCAGTGGTGTTGCACTAGAGGATTGTTTTAAGATTTCTTCCGACCCAAGCCATTCTCTGATTTGTCCTCTCAGTTCTGTATGTCTGTGGAAGTCAGAGATTGTGCAGACACAGGATTCTGATGCCCCCCTGCACTCACAGTTTTACACAGGCTGTTTCTATTTTAGAGAGCTTCTCCTGTTCAGGGCAGAGGGTGTTTCCACCAGCTTCCCCCTGCCCTGCACAGGGAGCCCAGGGCTGAGCTCTGGTTTGGAACTCCAGAAAGCTGCCTGATCATCCTTGGAATAAGCTTTTCATGACAGTGCTTATTGTTGAATATCTTGCATCAGATTTACTGACCTTGCTCTCTGCACTTCATTGAGCTTTGCCCACTGAGCTCTTTTAATAATCAAAATGCCCATGACCAGGAGCAGAGCGTGCTCAGAACTGACGCTGTTTAAAGCAGCTCAAGTGACAGTGCCCTTTTTCCTAGAACTTCACCACTCATTCTCCAGAACTACTGGCAAATTCTTCCTTTCTCAGGGTATTGCCTACAGCAATGCTGCTCCAAACCAGGCAGCACTGTGTTGAGAGCTCCTGTTGGAGCTGTATGAATATGTAAGAGTGTAAGATATTTGTGATTTGGGAGTGCTGGACTGAGGATGTGTCAGAGTGCAGAGGATCCCAGACCAATGCTGTGTGTGAATGTGGGTAGAGTTGTGTTTGGGCAGAAGGGTTGAGGTTTTTTTTGAGTTGTAGGTAGTGAAGGCCTGACTTGGTTGAGAGCATTGCTTGGGGTTTACATTGACAATAAGCACATAAATATTAGCAACACAGGCCTGAGCTCTTTAAGACATGTTAGCACTTCATGTTTGTGTGAGATGAAACAAGAAATATTACTGTATAGTTATTGACTGCTTGTCTACTGGGGGTTAAAAGTATTTCCTGGTCTAGGTTACTTTTGCCTCTTAGGCTCTCTTAACCCTTAGAAAATCTTTAATAAATTTTGAGAAACAGAAAAAAAGAATAATTTTCCTATTAATAAATGTGCTTGTTATACATTTCTTCTCTATCAGCTCTGTAACAGAAGCATCAGCTTTTTCACAATCTGAAATTACTTGCAAAAAACTGTATAATTTTTTTTCAGGTGTGAGATAATATGAATAATTTTTTTTGTTTGAAACTATGAAGAATTATATCACTTATGACTGACTATTGCAATAATGAACTTTCCTCTAGTATGCACATTTTGAATTTTTTGATTTCTGCAAAATACCAAGTGAGGGTTTATTCAGGTACATTCTCAATTGCTTTTATAGCTAAGGAGTCACATTTCACACTGAAGGCACAAACTACACGTCCAAACTTGAAACCATGTTTGACCTTGCTGTCCGTTGGATTCTTCTCTATCTGATATTCCTGGACCACTACACGTCTGGTTTTCCCCTTTTTATTATAACATATAACGATCACTGAAAGAGTTTTAACAATGATTTGTCTTTTGTAGAGCTGCCTTTTCTAATGATGTAAAGGCAAGCTCTATGTTCATAGGACCAAATGTACAAGATACATTACATTATTTCCCTTTTACATCTGCAAAAGTACAGAAATGTCAAAGAATCCCATCTGGATCAAAGATTAAGTTACCTGTAAAGATCATAGAAGAACCAATAAATCATACACCCAAGTTCTTTAAGTGCCTTGACTAGTCCAGATTCCAATATTAATAGCCCTGTCAGACTATTTATAGGAAATGTATCCACAGGGATGGTAAGATGCAAAACATTTCTAAATATATCAGGTCAAATGACAATTATGCCATTAGTTAAGTTTGCCAGACAATATTTTGCCAAAGATGGTTTGCCAAAATATATTTTGACAGAAGGAAAAGGAAACATCCAAAGCATCTGCATACCAGAGTCTATAAAAGTCTCTTTGGAGTGCTGTGCCCAGTCTTGACAGAAAATTTCGAGGTAAGTGTTTGGCTCCTGTGAACTGCTGGGCAAAACATATACCTTTTTATTCCATTTAACTTCCCACAAGACTTGGATATCCACTTCTGTCATGGACTAACTCTACAAGCAGTAACTATTGTAGGTTTGAAGGCAGCATGTTTTCCTTCAAATTATATATTAGATTTGAGCATCTGTGCAACAAAAAATGAGTTTTTATATTTTCAAGTAGCAGTGACCTCTGCCACCAAAATAAATAACAAAATTTAACAACTTTCAAGGAACAGGATGAAATCCAAGAGTTTAAGATTTGTGGAAGGGATAACAGACAATAGTCACATTTTTATCTGTGATAATTCAAGATGAATTATCCATAGCAAGTAATTTTTAGAAAGCCACTACTTGCTATCAGAAAAAAAGAACTATTTCAGAGACTTTTAGTAGCATTAAAAAACCCCACAAAAACAGAGACTCTGTTATGGGAACAGCCAAATTTGCTAGAGTTTAAAAAGTTGAAATAATACTGCTAAACTTCACAACATACTGTACACTTAACTGTTGTTCTGTACATGGACTCCTAGCTGGATGTCTAAGGATTAATTTTAGAGAGCTATGTAAGTATTCTCAGCCAAGACTGGGAAGTTTAAATCCAACTTTTGACTTGCTTATATCTACTTTAAAATTTCAAAAGATCAAAATGCAAGAGATCTCCTTTCTTTCACATAAAGATGTTCATTCACTGATACAACATATCTTGTAGCCCACAGAGGACCCTGCAGACTGCGGCTCCTGAAGACGTGCAACGATGTCGGCTCCAGACGCTGACATGGCCGCCTTTGGCGAGGCGGCTCCTTACCTCCGAAAAACAGAGAAGGAGAGAATTGAGGCCCAGAACAAACCGTTTGATGCCAAGACCTGTGTCTTTGTGGTACATCCAAAGGAGTCCTATGTGAAGGGGAAGATCGAGAGTAAGGATGCAGGGAAGGTCACTGTCAAGTCTGAAGGTGGAGAGGTAAATAAATGCAAAATGCACAAACAAAATTTAATTCCCACTCTAGGTTCTTAGCTGACATACATACATCTCTCTATTCTGTGGCAGACCCTGACTGTGAAGGAAGACCAAGTCTTCTCCATGAACCCTCCCAAGTATGACAAAATCGAGGACATGGCCATGATGACCCACCTGCACGAACCCGCTGTGCTGTACAACCTCAAAGAGCGTTACGCAGCCTGGATGATCTACGTAAGTGGCAGCAGCAGCTTCCTCTGGGCAGCCTCAGGAGCTGCTGGGCCAGGCTCAGGGCAAGGCAACGTGCTGTGTCCCTTCCTTGCAGACCTACTCGGGTCTCTTCTGCGTCACTGTCAACCCCTACAAGTGGCTGCCGGTGTACAACCCCGAGGTGGTGTTGGCCTACCGAGGCAAGAAGCGCCAGGAGGCCCCTCCACACATCTTCTCCATCTCTGACAACGCCTATCAGTTCATGCTGACTGGTGAGTTTCATGATTTTATTTAAAATCACTTTGCTGTAAATACTCACAAAGGAGAAAAAAAAGTCTTTTCACTGTACAATAGTTCAGTTTAATGTTGCTGGGAATGTGGATGTTCTGTCATCTCTGTAAATAGATTTTTTACTGAACATCATAATTTAGATAAAGCTTATAGAAATCAATGTTAAATTTTCATGGCCACTGTATTTGGGAGGATATGATTTAACATTGAATATATTGTCAGATTTTCCATTCAAGAAATTTGGATATATTTTAAATCTCTGCTTTTTCTCAGATGAAAGGATTGTTCTTTGAATAATTTGCTATGCAGGACTGAAAATCACTAGGGTGAATTTCTGTAAATAACGCTGTCTGTAAATGGAAAGTACATTAAACATTGGAGCCAATGTTTTCTATGGTAGCTTTACAAAAACTCTGGAAGCAGTCTCAGTCAGAAATTGCAGCGAAACCTGCTCAGAAAAATGATAACTTCCTTCCTCTGTCTCAATCAATTTCTTCTTTTTCATTCATTATTATAAAGGAAAGAAATACCAAAGAAGGGTAGTGACTGTTTCTAGCACTGTCTAAATATCCAGAATTTTAGGAAAGAGCAGATTGGTCAGAAATATAGATAACAGTATAATAACATGTATTTTAATTTTTTAAAAGAAATCTTCTTCCATCTTTTGTCCCCAGTTACTGTATTTAAATCTGTAGCATTCAGAGTGTTAAGAAAGGTAATTGGAAGAGAATTCAATGAAAACAAACAATATTAAATTGATGTTTGAGTAGTGTGTCTTATCAGGATCAAAGGTGTAGTATATTTACCCTTGCTGACACCTTCATAAGACATGCAGAAACATTGTGAGTGCAAGCCCAGACTACTCCACTAAAAGTTAGGTCCCTAATTGATTAGTCTCTTCCTGGAGATTTTCCAGTTTTTATAGTGCAAAGGTTTTGTCAATGGAGTCACAATGGGAGCATAGGTTAAAAAAGCAACCAAACAAAATTGTGGAAAGCAAACTCAGCTGAAGATATAGCAAAGAGAAATATTGAATCTGTTTGGGTAAGTACCAAAATTTGAATATTCTAGATTATGGCAGACTACTCCAGTAAAGGTTAGTACATATTTATAATGTTACTTTGATTTTCTTTAGGCAATAATCAATTGGCCAACAACAAAAAAACCATTCAGGAGACTTATTGATTGATCAGGAATGGTTGCTCCTATGTAATAAATTTTATGAGAAGCACATGCTCCAGTTCAATTCAGCTTGCTGATAGACAATTTAATCAGTAACTCTACAAAACTGATCATTAGTTGGAATAATTTCTACAACAAAATTAATAGTATGACACGAAGGGAATAGCCAAAAAAAGAAGCGCAAGTGTGCCATACTTAGCATCACCTCAGGGTCATGACATCAATTTCCCATCTGAATCTAGGAATATTAAATATTAGAAAAGGAAGTAGGGGTGAAGGTAGAAAGGTTTATTAATGGAAATAGATGCCCAGTGCTAGTGCACCTACTAAAAGCCACAGGAACAATTTTATCAATGATATTCATGACACATAATAATAATAATTTATTTTCTGCCTTGTTCACAGATCGGGAGAACCAGTCCATCCTGATCACGTAGGTACCCCCCCTGCGCGGGTCCCTGCGGGGCTGCCCGGTGCCAGGGCCCCTCCTGCCTGACCACGCACCCTCTGCTTCTCTCTTGGCTTTGGCAGCGGAGAATCCGGGGCCGGGAAGACTGTGAACACCAAGCGTGTCATCCAGTACTTTGCAACAATTGCAGCCAGTGGAGACAAGAAAAAGGAGGAGCAGACGTCAGGCAAAATGCAGGTGAGGTCCCAGGGATAGAAACCTGCAAGTATCCAATTTCCTCATGAACTAGATCATGACAAGAAGACTTCTATTCTAGGGGACACTTGAGGATCAAATCATCAGCGCCAACCCACTGCTGGAGGCCTTTGGAAATGCCAAGACCGTGAGGAACGACAACTCCTCACGCTTTGTGAGTTCTTGCTTTGCATAAAATCTCTCCCCCCNAAGATATGACTCTCTAATCTGTTTACCAACTGCTTTAGTCTGAGGAAGACAGGAAGAATGTGCTGAGGCTGCAGGATCTGGTGGACAAGCTGCAAATGAAAGTGAAATCTTACAAGAGACAAGCTGAGGAGGCTGTAAGTATTGCTTGGAGAATGGAATGGGAATAATTCCATTAGGGCAGGACACACCTTGAATGAAGCTGAATACCAGGAGGAGGGTAAAGAAACTCCTGAGACACAACTTGTTGGCCATGCTGTTTTGCTATAGTTTCATGAGGCTTTGGTGAGCTCTGGGCACCCTGTAGTCAGGGACATTTCATTAAGGGAAGATCTGCAGCCTTTTTCACACAGGAGGTCAGAGTAAACAAACCAGGGGCCACACCCAGTGATTGACAAGTTCCTGAATCTCTGCTACTAATCAGCAGCAGAAGGCTTCCTGGTCTTCTTAACCCCATAATTCATACAGACAAGTAGTGTGAGAATAAGTACAGAAAGGATAAATTGAAGGGATGAAATTGATTCTCCCGTGTGACACAGTCCTGGTGAAGCTTGTCCCAGTAGGGTCCTGAGAAGGGGAGGATGAGGAGCTCTGTGGGAGGTTGATGGGTGAGCAGTGGTGGGAAGGGAATGGAGATTTGCAGCCCCACAAGGCTGACTTGCATCAGGAGTGAAACCCCTGCTCTGTGCTCCTGAACCCTGATTCGCTCTGATCTCACAGGAGGAGCTGTCCAATGTGAACCTGTCCAAGTTCCGCAAGATCCAGCACGAGCTGGAGGAGGCCGAGGAGCGGGCTGACATTGCAGAGTCACAGGTCAACAAGCTCCGAGTGAAGAGCCGTGACATGCATGGCAAGAAGATAGAAGAGGAAGAGTGAAGATGTCACAAGGCATCAAAGTGACCTGAGGGATGCACAAAATGTGAACCCTCTGTCACTGTCTTCCAGATTTGATATTTGCAATCAGCTCAATACATAGGCAATAAAGAGTAGATTCATTTGCATTCACATCATGAGTGGTTATTTGTTTTTGTTTTTTACGGATGAAGTCTTTATCACCATTAGTCTTTGGACACAGTTTTGCCTTTTAAAACCTTTGTGTAGTTTTGTGGTGGTACAGCTTTTTATCATCTAATTTCCAAATTATTATCCCTTTAATAACACTTTGGTCAATGAGCAATGAAAGCTTCTTACTCACATAAGTGATTTTGAAAGACACAGAGTGAAAGAGAAAAGTTTTTTTTGCTGTTGCCTGTGTTGGTCAAGCGGGTGTTGAGCAAGTCAGAGTGGTGTTGAAGAGGAAGAACACATTTCCAATGAAATTCTGTTAGTTATTTCAAGAACTAAGGAAGGACAAGGAACTATACATTAGAAATGTACATTAGAAGGCTTCCATGACGCTCAGCAAACAGTGCCAATAAATAATACACCAAATTCACTATTGTTAAACCACAAATTACACAGATACAGAAACAAAATACAGTGTCATTTATGAAGAAATGGACTCTGGGCTGAGAATCCCCTGTCAGGAGGAAGTTCTGCCACATGTTCTGTGTAATTGTGTGAAAATATCAGCTCGTTTTTCAGCAGTGGTAGCAGAAGAGAAAATAAGAAGAAACAAGGTCAAGGAGACCAACTACATGCAGGGACTTAGGAAGATAAGTTTTCTAAGAAAACCTTGGATAGAAAGAATAGGGCAAACTGCACTTCTGTAAGAAGATGCACCATTTATTGGAAATGTGTATCAAATACCTTCCCTGTCTCAGAAGATAGCCATACATGCTTGAACCCTGCCTGTTCTTGGGGAACTCTGCATGGACCTGAAATCTTGGGATATATTCATAGATGTATATGAAATAGTACCTGTAAGTCACCTCAGAGAGATCAGCTTCAGGCTGGAGCCTGAGGCAGTGCTGGGGACTGGGCAGGAAGGTGAGCACCCCCCAGCTTTGTGGAAGTTGAGATGAGGGGTAAGCACTGGCAGGCAATGCAAGGAAACTGCCTGTCTGCTCCCCCACAGGTGGAGGGAACCTGAACAGACCATGGGTACAATGAGGCAGTGACCCACTGTCCCACAGTTACCTCTGGCCTTTGGTAATGTGAAGAAAGCACAGACATCTGAGGCAATACCCCAGGGTGAGGGGTGGTGTAGGGCAAAAAGACATCAGTTGGGCTGTGGCCATGTCTTTTGCTTCACTATTTAGGCTGTTGATATCAGGACAAGGCTTCTTCAGCTTTATTCTCAGCTTCAGGGCCCATCAGGCTCCTGTCAGTCACAGGGAGCTCCTGGGCCAGCAGCTGACCAGGCCCCAGTGCCAGGNACATTGAACATTTCCATTAATCTTCCCTTTTCACTTCTTGTGATTTCTCCCAGCCCATGGGCATCTTCTCCATCCTGGAAGAGGAGTGCATGTTCCCCAAGGCAACTGACACCTCTTTCAAGAACAAGCTCTATGACCAGCACCTGGGCAAGTCCAACAACTTCCAGAAGCCCAAGCCAGGCAAAGGCAAGGCTGAGGCCCATTTCTCCCTGGTGCACTATGCTGGCACAGTGGATTACAACATCTCTGGTTGGCTGGAGAAGAACAAGGATCCTCTGAATGAAACTGTCATTGGGCTGTACCAGAAATCATCTGTCAAGACCCTGGCTTTACTCTTTGCCAGCTATGGTGGAGCTGATGCAGGTCAGTTTTTTTGTCGAAATTGCATTTTTATTGTAGGACAAATTTTTTTTAGAATTAAAGCTGTAAACACTACAAATGTAAAGTGGCTTTGTGTTTTGTGGTATCCAATATATCTTGTCCATATTATAAAACTTTTTTTTAATTTTCTTTTATTTTCAGATGCTGGTGGTGGTGGCAAGAAGGGAGGCAAGAAGAAGGGTTCTTCTTTCCAGACTGTCTCAGCCCTTTTCAGGGTAATTAGAATATTTAATATCTCCTTAAAGATAGAAAGCATTTTAGTCTGAAACTGAAAGGTCTGTTTCCATTTTGGATGTAACTCTTGTCATCCTTTAAAACCCTTCCCTTTCCATCCTTGTAACTTACACAATATTCCTTTTATAACGCCATCTTTGAGTATTCCACAAAGATATCTAAAGTTCACCTACTTAGATGGGAGTGAGTAACTTACCAGCTAACTTCCTTAAAATCATCTCAATAGCATTCAGATATATTTCCTAGACTTTTTTTATGTCTTTAGGCAGATTTTCAGTACTGACTCATAGTAAAATTTGAAAATAATAGATCAAACATAAAAAGCAAAAAGAAATTACTCCAACATTATAGGATTTTAAGACAATGACTGGATTTCAATGCAGAAAAAGATCGAAGATTAAATATATCAAATTTATGGCTTCTGAGGTCAGTTTTCAGTTGTCTTCTAAGTTTGAGACTGAATACTATTAAAGAGTCATTTTATATGGCCTATCCCGTTCATTTAGAAACAACTTACTTAGCTGAAAAATCAGATGTTAGTCATGCTCGATCAGGAGCGTGTCATCTATTTAATATCCCCAACACTATACCACAAGAATTACCAGCTCAAAGGAAAACTGTGAGATGATAGCCCTGTATTTGGATGAGGAGGTCAAGGAAAAGTAATGCTAACCATTATTCCATAAAAGAACTTCAAACTTTGGGACCCTTAAGCTTCCAATTTTCCTTTTGGGTGTTCTGCAAGTTGTATTGGAGAAGACAGGTCTGCATCCTGAAACATCAGTTTGTTACATCCACTGTTAAGATTCTACTGCTTACCCTTAATAATGTAAACTTCATTTCATGATCTCACAGGAGAATTTGAACAAGCTGATGGCTAACTTGAGAAGCACTCACCCCCATTTTGTCCGCTGTATCATCCCCAATGAAACTAAAACACCTGGTAAGGCAAGCCAAGGGGACGAAAGCTTGAGCAGCAGAAGCTCTTCTCCTGAGTGCCAAACAGCAGGGTGGTCACTAATGGTGGTATTTGTCAGGTGCCATGGAGCATGAGCTGGTGCTGCACCAGCTGCGCTGTAACGGCGTGCTGGAAGGGATCAGGATCTGCAGGAAAGGGTTCCCCAGCAGAGTCCTCTATGCTGACTTCAAACAGAGGTGAGAGCTATGAACCTTTCTGCCAATTCAGAGCAAGCTGAAGAGACTAATCTTCTTATAATATACTTTGAACTTTTAATTTTAGATTGGTACTGATCATACATGTAGATGTTTCACCATCAGTTTATGATGATGTGGTGGTGCTGAGATCATGATTGTTTTGTACTTAGAATTACTATTAAAAGCATTTCCCATATTCTCTCCTTCGAGGGCGAACTATCTCTAGGCATGAGATAGTTCATGGTACAGTCTGAAAAGTTATGGTGGTGGTTTCAACGAATGAGATTTCTTAATGTTCTGCTTTCTCCTACAGATACAGAGTACTTAATGCCAGTGCTATCCCAGAGGGACAGTTCATGGATAACAAGAAAGCTTCAGAGAAGCTCCTTGGATCCATTGATGTAGACCATACCCAGTACAGATTTGGTCACACCAAGGTAAAAAACAAGACCTGTCTCAAAAGGTTGTCCAAACCAGTGAGAGTGGGCTCTGTCAGGGAATCAGGCACAGCACAATAACATAACAGATCTGCCAGACTAGGGGCTACTACCAGCAAGTGCCCAGTCTCACTGTAATCAAGGCAAGTGAGGATGACCCAGGAATGGTAGTCAGACTCAAGTGGGAGTCCACACTATCAGTGAAGTTTGTTACAATAAGAATGATCTAAGTTGAAGCCATAAAACCTTGTTTTTCAACATTTGTCAGGGTCACATATAGGTAGGTAAAAAAGGCAAGACCCTAGTCATTAATTCATTGACATAGACACAGAAGTGAGATTGGTCTAACATCAAACCAAGAATTAACAGATTATGGTAGAGCTCACCAGTGTCCATGACCAGGCATAGGAGTGGCTGAGGCTGTGGATGAATTGGAACCCAGTACTCATGACACATAGCTCAGACAAGGACTGAATGCTTAGGGCTGAGATTATGGAAAGTCCTAAGGCCTTGGACAGAGGATATGGGAGAGGGCCCAAGGTGATACTGATCATGGCCATTAAAGTCTGTCAGCAATCTGAATGACTCAGTGCTCTGTTCTATCCTACATCACAATGACATGGTGCAACATTTAATTTCTCAAGGTGTTCTTCAAAGCTGGGTTGCTGGGACTCCTGGAGGAGATGAGAGACGACAAGTTGGCAGAAATCATCACTCGCACACAAGCCAGGTGCAGGGGCTTCCTGATGAGAGTGGAGTATAAGAGAATGGTGGAGAGGAGGTAGATATTTCTCATAATTAGTTGATTTTCATGGAACTTTACTGATGAAGTTTAAATTAATCACACCATATCCATATAATAACTGTGTAAATTTCAATTCAGAGAGTCCATCTTCTGCATCCAGTACAACGTTCGCTCATTCATGAATGTCAAACACTGGCCATGGATGAAGCTGTTCTTCAAGATCAAGCCATTGCTGAAGAGTGCAGAGTCTGAGAAAGAAATGGCCAACATGAAGGAAGAGTTTGAGAAAACCAAGGAAGAGCTTGCAAAGTCTGAGGCAAAGCGGAAGGAACTGGAAGAGAAAATGGTGGCCCTGGTGCAGGAGAAAAATGACCTGCAGCTCCAAGTGCAGGCTGTGAGTACCACTGTTCATTTTCCCCTGGAAAAAGAATCGTATACTGACAGAATGCTTCTTGTCCTGCAAAGAGACTCAAAGAAAGACCTACTTTTCCTACATACAATAAATTCTTGATTATTTTCAGAAACATGGATACTTCCCATTAAAACTCAAAAAGGACAAGGGAGTTTCTTAACACCAAATGAAATTATCAGCTAGTTACCACAGAA